TCTATAGTTCATCTGCATTGTTTTGACACCATTATGTTACTTTCCAACAGATTTCAGAAGGGTTAATGTTGCCTGAGGTTGTTAAAGTCCCCTTATGATGAGTAAGGTCCCCTTGAGGCAATACAAGCCCACTAGGTGACCTAAAGAGGTCCCTTTCAAAAAATTTTCTGTGATTCTATGATTCAAAATAAGCTTTCATTAGTAGTTTATTTTTGATTTTTTTTTTTAAAAAAAGAATTAGAGTAGGAGCCTACTGAAGTGACTAGTTAAAGTCAAAATTTAATCTGTTGGTATTGAAAGAGATAAGTCCTACTGGGTCCTCCCTATATTGCTTCCTCCACTGATGTACACCCATTGCATCCCTGTTGCTCTCACTTGGAAAACTTCTGAGTCTGCATAGCCACCAGCATTCAAAAATGGAATTTACTTCTAAAGCACTGATGAGAACACCAGAAAACCTATCTGTGAGGTAGTGGATGTAGGAGTAGATGTGGGGATATGACATCCCTTTCCCATCCCTGGGCAAGGGACAAATTAAAGATTTGGTGTGAAAGGGAAGTTAGGGTGTGTGATTTTTTACAAGTGGTTCAGATATTCATACAGATGGAAGAAATCCTTAATTCTGGTCTCCAGTGGTTGTTTCCCTGTTCTGTGGAAGAAAGCCATTCACTAATGATGGCTCTGTGAGCACTCTGTTGACGTTGGAGCAGTGAATTATTCTTCAAGCTTTGCCTCCCCCCAAAATTAAGAAAGGTCCTATTTCTTATTTCTGTTCCTGCTGTGGTAGTACTCCTTCTAGAGCAAAAAAAAATCTGAAAAAAAACTCTTAGTGTCTCTGTCAGGCTTTCCTTCTGGGAAAAAAAAAGAAAAAAAAAAACTGTTTCTCTAAGTTGTGGGTAATAATGAGCCCATTCAACACTAATTTCCTGGCCTAAAAAGCCACTCCTTCGAAAACAGTCTTTAGTAACACAATGGAGAACATCAGCTTTCCTTGAGAATTTTTTTTTAATTCTTTATATTTTGGAAAATCTTGAGGGGACTATTTGAACTAAAATTAGAAAGACAAAGAAATACCAGGGGTGGTAGAGCTCTTTTGCCTGCAGTAACATCCTGTGCCATCCACCATCCTTGTGGGCTGTTTGATTGTTCTGCTGCAGGGCATTCCAGTTCAGAAAACACAAAATACTCAAGTCCCCCAACCTTAACCCCCAGCCTTCCTCCTTGTGTTATGTTACAAGGACCTCATTTCAGAGGATGTAGAAGAGCATGCTGCTCCTCTTCAGTGGCTCTACAGCCTCACGAGCTCTTCAGCATGGGGGCATGTGACTCTATGAAGGATGCACTGGTAGCCATACAGTTGAGAAATAAGCTGGAGAAAGAATCCAGCACGGAACAGACGTACTTGTACCTATGGGCATTGTCAGGCCATCCAGCCACTGCATCTATGGACAACGCTATGTGCTCCTACTGATTCAACCACCAAGAAACCTCTGTAGGAATAGGAGCTATAGCCTGCTCACAGCAACAGTTGTGCTCAAACACTGCCCCTGTCTCACTTAGTCACTCTCCCAGTGGCTGCAGGTTCCACAAACCCAGTTTTGGTGCTATTGATCCTGCCAGCTGTTTGGGTTTCATGTCCAAGTCCCGACTCTCCCTTTTCCAATTACAGATGCCAGCGGGTGAGGAGAGGTCCTGGTTTGTAGGCATCTGCTGAAAGAATGGCTGGGAGATTGCACAAGGCTCTAGGAATTAAGCTTCTGCAAGCTTAGAAAAACTCTGTTGTAGTGTTCATAAACCTTGACTAACATCATATCGATGTGAATCATGTATGATCTCTATGCAGAGACAACACTCCCTCCTGTACATCTAATGAATATACCTGATGCTGATATGTTATCAGTAAACAGCTGATATATGAACTACTGCTGATACAGTAATGTCACTGCGCATGACAATAGGGAAGAAGTACAGTAGGAATGAGTGAGGGATTTTGATAGAGATTGTGATACTAGAGCAATCTGGCTCTAGTGGAGGGTGGTGGACAGCAGAGGCTTTCTTTTCCAAATATAATAAGCAAGAAAAAGAGTGACAGAAAAGTACACTGACTGCTCTCTTTCTTTTAAATTTTAAACTACATAAGATTGGATCTAACTGTTTTTAAGAAGAAATTATTTAAAAATGCATGATTTGCAGCTTGAAAATACCCTATTTTCCAGCTATGTTTAAGTTTCAACAAGTAATGAAATGAAATTTCTTTTCATGACCCATAAATGAGCTGTGTCTTATGTTGTCCCATGTGAAGTAAAGCATTTCAGGGTATAAGAGAGCCTTTAATGTCTTTAATGCTTATAATATTCCTCCCGCCTTGAAAACTAATAGATGGGGCTTAAAAATGGAACAAATGTTCAACAGCAGCCTCTGAAATTTTCTTTTTTCCTTTCTTTTTCTCACCAGGTTGCTTAACTTTCAGCTGCTTTTTCACAAGGTTAGTGTGATTTTTTGGTGGTATTTGTGGGTCGGGTGGAGAGGTGAGCTTGTCACTGGAATAACTGAGCTGAGAGAAAATTCAAGACTTTTGGCTTTGGTGTAACTTATTTGAAAGCCCTCTCTCCAAGATTTGAAAGCCTCTCCTTCCCACAGGCTTGGGGATTATTTCAAACTGGTGATGTCTGGGACATGGGTACTCGCTGTGGGGACATGGTCACCAACCCTGCCTGGCCCCACTGGCAGCCCCGACTCAGCAGACCCCATCTGGGAAGTCCCTAACTTTGCCATGTTGGGACACATTTCAAAAAACGCTATGTCTTATGAAAGCTTTTATAGAGCCAGACAGAAAGGACTGTAAAAAAAAAGTTTTCTGAGTACCAAGAGGACCCCAAAACACCAATGGACTCTATACAAGAGGAAGGAAAAAGAACTTAGTTAACTTGTTCATGTTGCATAAAATCACGAGTTTTGCAATGCAATTAGTTTGGTAAGAATAAGTAGGGAAGTGATAAGCATCACATCTTGCAACACTTCCCATGGTATGGCAGTTCCCTATAATGCAAGCAGTGAGGGACACACCCCTATTTAGAGCTGCACAACCATTTCAAATACAAGGCTTTCCAGCTTCTTAAGCCTCAGGACTATTATACAAAAATAAATGAGATACAGAAGTTTTGAAAAACAAGGTAGGTTTATCTTTTTCTTCTCTGATTGTTTTGATCCCGGAGATGTGCAGTAAGATACGGGGATGAATACTGGAACCACAAGTTTAGAAGAAAAATGTCCTAGGCAAAAATCTCAAAGCTGGCAAAGGAATACACAGAGCTAAACTGAATGAAGGTCTTTGCAGACAAAGTACCTACTCCCTGCTTACAAAATATCCTAGTTACAATCTTGGTTTTCTTTCTGGTTTTGGTACTGAATTTGTATATATTTGTACATATTCAAAAAATCCTTGAAAGTACATGAATCAGATATTATGAGCTGGTGACTTTATCGTAACCATCTCTTCACTAAGCGGATGGAAGTGACTGATATTTCTGTGATTGATTTTGTGACTGATTTTGACATTTTCTGTTTGCAACTGTTGCCCACTATTCCTCTTAACCTTTCTTTATAGCACATAGATAATCTTCAGATCTTAAGTTAGAAGTCATCAAATAAACATATATAGCATTTCATACAGTAGTCCCAGGATCAACAGACTTACTGTCTTGTGGCAGAAAAGTACGACTGTTTTAACTTTTGCATGGTTTATCTGAACATTTTTCTTACTTCATGAGAGATCTGTTTAATCTTCTCTCTCTCAACATCTGAGAGATGGGCAGAGGTCTGGAGACTCAAAGCGTGATAGTTCAGAAGAAAGATTTAGCTGGTGTAGAAGTATAAGGGAAATGTTGGGGACATGCGCAATCTGTAGGAAGGCCTGTGCTTTAAACCTGTCTTGAAATGGAAGATGAGGCAGTTGTTTGGAAAAACAAGCAAGCAAACAAGCAAAAAGATACCCAAAAGGAGCAATCCAGAGAGAAGCCTGAGAACGTCATGGAAGATGTTCAGAATTACTGTATTGGAAAGCTGAGTAATTTCAAAATATAATTTGAAAAGAAACAAAACATTGCAGTAAATATGTGTGTGTGTTTGTCTGTGTGTCTTCTGGATAGCTAACTAGAGCAACATAGTAAAGAAAGAATAGCTTTTAACACACGTGAATCTTTCCAAAGAAGAAAACAGAAATGCTTGCATACATGGCAGGTCTAATGTTAACAGAAAATGGAAAGGAATAAAAGGAAATGAAGAACAATTCACAAATATTCTCAAGCTGCTAGCAAGTTTTTTTAATATCAGCAGCAGGAACCAGCAAAGGAATCAGTGGGACACTTTGGTGGAAGAGGTGTAAAAGGGTCCTTCAGGAACCATGAGGCTGCAACACAAAATCTCAATGCATTTTTTTTTTTCCTGCTGAAATAAAATGGGAATCTTAGGAGCTAGAAGCCAGACCACTTTGAGCTAAATATACAGGCTGTTTATCAAGATAGATATAAACTAGATATTAATAAGCTACCAGGACTAGATGCCAATCGCATGAGAGCTCTGAAAGAACTCAAGTGGGTAATTGCAGAATTTCTGGCCAAGGCACAAAACCACTCATTTTAGTGCTGGAGTGCAAGCCAAGTGCCAGAGTAACTCCCAGTTATGAAATGGCTCTAAAAGTGATCTTGGGAACCACAGCCTCAGCCACCACAATGATTCTGAATTCTCTTCTGGTAAGGTAGCAGAAACTATAAGGAAAAACAAGGTCCCTGAAGACATGAATTAATGCAACCTGCTGGGAAAGTGTCAGCATGGCTTCAGTATAGGGAATCTTGCCTCACTAGATATATAGAAGGTGAAGGATGCTGTGGAGATGGACAGTATGAGCAGGTCACACTAGGTAAATTCAGGGACAGGTGTTTCACTTTGTGATCATCCACTTTGGGTGAGTTTTGCTGCTTTCTGTCTCCAAGGAAGAAAATATGGTTGCTCGTCTTTGGCTCACCTTCATGATCCAGTGGATGCTGCTGTTTGCCCCAGGGTGTGATGGCTGGCAGTGTAGAAACTGTGAGTACAATTATCTTACGTGACACCCTCAGAGATGGGGTTTACTGTGCTTCTCTTTGGAGGTAGCTGTGGGCTACATTCCTTTTGGCTGAGACCTGCTGGGTAGCCTCTGCACCCGAGAATCTGGGAACATCAGAATTGCATTTGTACTAATACTTTTCTGTAATATATTCAGCGGAGATGCCAGACTCACCTATTAGAAATCTGACACTGAACCGGAGGAAAATGGAACTGAGCTGGGTGAGCAGCACGAAATTCACTCAGTATTGGTGTTCTGATGGGAATATAAAGATAAAGGTAAAATTGCTATATAAAGTTTTAATAGAGATAAATCATTACTCTTTTTCTTTCATATTCTTAAATAACTCAAAATGTATCCTCGGTAGCAGCAAGACAGTCTGTGTTTTAAACTTGTGTTTAGTGAGATCACTCTTTGTACTGAGAATCTTTTTCCATTCTCTATCACCATTTTCAGGAAATACTTGTTTTCAGAGCATCATTCTCATGAAATCAGGGCCTTGATGGGCCTGAAGTGTAAGATTACCCCTTTTCCATGTTCCAGAGGAACTTAGGTGACAGACAGCTCATAAAGTGTAGAAGATGATTTATGAATACAATGGATAGACTTACATTAGATGGCTGTGTTCTGACTGACTTACCTAAAGATAACATTTCAGTAGCCTTTAAGATGCAGTGATGTACCTGCACAGGACTGCTTGGCATAACACAGAAGAAAGTGAAGACATCCTTTCTGGAGAGGCTACTAGGGCCACACAGGGCTTCCATGGGCATTTCTTATACAGTAGGCATTTTTGTATGGATCAACCAAGTCAATCCTGAGTAAAATGTGGACCCGAGTGGATGGTCTCCTCCAACACTCTTGGAGGTTTACTAGAACAGCCTGAAGGCCAGCACAGCTTGAGAACATGGGAGACCTATATAAATAGCTAAAAAGGAGAAATACCTTCAAACTCTCTGACTGGATATTTAATAGCAGACACAAGACTTCAACCTTGGATCTTATGTGAGTGGATGACCTAAAAACTGTAATGACAATGAAAAGGCAATTTCTGCTTATCCTTTTGTTTGTTTTTAGAAATGCCTGCACAGGGAAGATGGCAAAGAAGACCTTCCTCTGTTATGTAGCTACTTTGTATCTTAAGCAGAATAGTTTCTCACTAACTGCCTTCTACAGGATAGACTGAAACTTCAAAGCAAGTCGGGAAGTTGTCCTCCTGTAATTATACTTCCCCCTATATATGCATTGCTTATGCCTTAGCTAAATTCCCTTCTTCTAGAGTTCAAAGCTGCAATTGTATCAGCCCATTTGCCCAATATTTCTCAGGGAACTGTTTGGATAGGCAATCACAAATACAGAATTGTTTTAAGAATAGGAACTGTAATAGTATGTATAGGTCTTGACAGGCTGTTTTGTACAAATGGAGAGGGAGCATTTCAGGTTACAGTATGATGGATACAAAGCGCTCAAGGTTTATAAGGGGCTAAACAGGGTAGATTTAAGCACTTACACTACAGACCGCATGGGAAGCCCCAGGAACTGCAAGGAGCAATTGCCAATGGGAGGCTGGTGGAAGTACAGGTCAGGTGTACAGCCTGGACACACAGGTAGTATCTTAAGGGCTCTTTAAATCTATCACACTATTTCCTTATCTCAGCTGTGCTAACCTTGAGCAGCTAATGTCCAGGAAGCAGCTAGACATTGCTGACAAAAAGAAATATGTGTGCCTGGCCCTGATAGGAATTTGATCAGCAGGTAATTCCACACACTGGGCCTGTCACCATATGCTCTGCAAGTCACTGACTTCTTCCCAGTCTTCTGCAGGTGTTCTCCCTACAATCACAATGTCAGTAAGCAATCCATATACTATGCTTAGTGTTTCAGTAGACAATTTCTAGAAAAACATACATACCAATGTCTCTGTCTTCTGTCACCACTGTCTTGACAAGGTCTCTATATGGCCTGCTCAGACTAGATGCTAGCTGTCAGAAAGCTAATGATAGTGGACATGAATTCAGCTCAATTCAGCTTCTTATTTAGACAGTCATTTGTCTGACATTTCACTTTGTACTGAGTATAAACACTGCAGTCAGCTGTCGATCCCTATGAAAACACATACTGCAGGATGTTTGAGCTGATCTGAGGGACTATGGGTGGACCCAGTACTCAATAAAAACAAAAAAGTAAACCATGTGCATATCATTTTTCAGGCAGGAAAAACAACCTGTAAGTTTGAAAGAAGTATATCTCTTCCTCTACATAACGGTGCAAATTTTTCAGTTACAGCAGCGAACATCAACACTACATATACAAGCACATGCACATTTATTCCGCAAGGTAATATGCTCAACCTTGGGAAAGAATTTACCTGTTTCCAATGTCTTAAGTGTAAAATATATGTGTGTATATATGTATTTTATATGTATGTATATATATCTTGAATTCATTTGCTCCCTATGTGAGAAAAAAGCTTCTTGTTCACAGACTGGGGACAAGGTTTCTAGTCAAAGAAAAGGAGTTTTCTGTGATAACTTAGTAGTTCTTTAGTTCTTATTTGTCATCTTTCTTGTTGCCATCTTTTCAATTGTCATCTTCCTTTTAAATATTTGTGCTAATATTCTACTGAGTACATTTAAATGTCCTTAAAATGTTAGTAAAAATTCAAGGAAAACAGTTTTGTGGGTGCAGGTTTTGAATATATTTGAGAAATCTGAGATACATTTAGCTTTACCATAGTGTGGCTCATGATCTTAAAATAAACTCATTGCAGTATCTCATCCATAATAATGAAAGGTCTGACAAAATTTACCTCTTTTTTATCATAGGGGTAATGCATATGAGTGTGCTAAAAGAGCAAGGAGCATGATCTGCTCAATTAAACAAACTAGAGTTAGTATATACAAAATTGCATTCATAGTAGTATTGTCAAACCTCAATAAATTGTTGTTTCCTTTTGAAAAGAGGCATGACCTAAGAATAAGTCATACTTCCTTTTAAAATGAATCATTAAAAAGACTTTTCAGTTTTTTTCTTGGAGAAGAAGTGGAAGCTTAAGGTGAAAATTGAAATTCTTGTGTTCAGGATATGGTTCCTGGAATTAATTCCATGTGGAAGGAGATATCTCTGCAGACCACGAAGACTTCCTAAGCATACGTCTATATCTATTTGTGTAAACATTTCTCTTTGAAGTCTAGAGAGACTTAAGAGAACTGTACTTGGGTTTTTCATCTTCTCTGCAGTCTTCAATTAGGCTCCTCACCCTCCCTACATATTTGATAGAGAATTGACATATATATTTTCTAGAAGTAGAAATATTTTGTAGGGTCCTGAGGGATGACAGGGAGATATTCTGTTTAGTGAATTTGAGGCACCAGGGTCTCATTTTGAATTGGAACAATTTGAAGCAAAGGGGTAGCCTGTTTAGCTTACAGCCTGTGCTAGAGCAGTATAGGCTCTTTTGAGGCATATTCCATCAGATGCAACCATAACCTTATCCTTGTAGTTTTTAGCCATGTGAAATTCTTCATAGAGCTTGTCACTGCAAATAACTTCCAGTCATGTTACTTAATGTGCTCAGCACATCATTCTTAAACCCAAGTAATAATCATCTGAAGCCGCAGGTGCCTAAAATATCTAAAGTGTATGCTGAGATCTTCCAGCTTGGAGCAAGGGGACATGGGACATTGCTATGTTTCAGGCATGCCCGGGACAGCCATTAGAAATTTCTCCTGTGTGATTTACAATGTTTCCTTTATGAACTGCACTTGGAGTGCGGGCAGGGATGCTCCAGGCGATACCCAGTATTTTCTCTACTGGGAGAACTCAAGGTGAGTAGGTCTGCTTGACTATTTGGAGTTCTGATCCAACACATGACACTGACTGCATTCAACTTAAACACCTTGTGCCCATAGAGAAGAAGAGGAAAAGCAATGTGAGCTTTATGTTAAAGACGAAAATGGGAGACACATAGGATGTCAATTCCAAAATGTGGCCATGAAAGATAATACAATTACCTACTTCGTAGTGAATGGTTCTAGCAAAGACACCCTGATTCGGTTCTATGATGAGTACATTAGACTGTACAACATTGGTAAGTAATTTCTTTCTACTTTATTTCCATTTTTGCTTGAGGAAAATAGGGAATTCATCCTTACAAAGGAGCTGCACTCATTGCAGAAAACTCTCCCTACAAAACAGGCTTACCTTTTCCTTGGAAAGTTTTGATCCTGGCCACATTGCTTGTGAGAATATAATTCCAAAAGTGAATCAGAGCAGTAGGAGGCAGAGACATTAAGAAAAAACAGGTCAGAGAAGTCTGACCTCAAGAAAGAAAAGTCCTTTGGATTTCTCAGCATCAGCTTGTTCTTAGTAAGGAACATCCTCATAAAAAGAAGAAAGTAACTCTACCTAAGTATTATCCAAAGTAAATGGAGGAGTTTTGCATCAAGATATTCTCCTAAGTCGTCTTCCCTGGCTCAGTCCATGTCTTTTTCTGATGCTGGAGACAGGAGCTGAAAAGCTCATCTTTCAAATGTGTTTAGCAGAGTTTCTAAGAAGAAGAGATACAAATAAGAATTTTTCTCTGCAGTTATCCTACCTGCAATTGCACTGCATTTTATCAAGGCAAAAACAGATGAAATGATTTTAAATGTGTTTTTGATTGTATCATTTCAGAAAAGTTCATGCCCCCATTAAATATCACTGCTAACTGTAATGGAAATCAAGAAGATTGCCTTATTCATTGGCAGCAACCAAAAATAAGTCGTTCAGGAAAAGATGAGTGTTTTCAATATGAAGTTATTATAAAATATAAGGTAAAAGATTTTTTTAATCTATATTTAACATTAACATACACATATATGTAACAGAGATCTTTCTCTTTTACAGTGTAGCTTTTCTCATATGTGGTACTGTATTTCTTTGCGGTCCTTCCATTCTACTACTCCACTATGACTGCTCCACCTTTTTGTCTCTGTTCCCCTGAATGAGGTATTGCTGAGGGCACATTAGATGGGTACAACTGTGTAGGACTACGGGAAGAAGCATGGATGGATTCATCATGACTTGAAAATAGCCACAGTTTCAGTTTTGAGAGAACTCAAAAAAAAAAAAAAAAAAAAAAGAAAGAAAAGATAAAGATGATTCGTTCATGCAGACTTACTGGATCTGTCCAAGACTGCAGTTTTTTCCAGTGGTACTATCCCTATGAAAGGGCAGAGGTAGACTATAAATTCTGGACATCATAAAAAAATGGAAAGTACATTCAGTTAAAGAATCTGTATTGAAGAAGGGGCCTTGAAGTTTCTATATATTCTGTATCTATGCAGTACATAGTTATATTGAATATATAAAGAGAGAATTACATATATTTAATACATATGAGTTAATTTTATATATAAGTTATGGTTACAGTACTCCAGATATCATATGGAAGCAAAACAATCATTTATCTAAGAGCTGAAACAGTATAATGTTAAATAAAAGGAAAATAAATGAGAGAGAAAACAGAAAGGCAGAGGATCTAAGCACAGGCCGCATTTCAAAAATAAGGGAATTATACAACCTCCTGAAGTTCTAATTCAGATCTTGATTTTACAGGTCTTTTTAAAGCAATATAGAGTGATAAGTCGATGTGTTTCATTGCAAAAAAGTAGACTTTAGCTACCATAATTATGAAAGAATTGCATCAAATGACCACAGGATGGCAGATGGTGTCTATAAAGCAAAAAAATAGCCTGTACTGCAGTCAGTTTGGGCCACACATTCAAGGCATTCCCTGAACTTCTGCTATCTGAAACTGCTTATTCTGTTTGGGTCTTGCCGTCTCATAGATGAATTTTCTCATAGGCCCAACTAACTGCTATAAATCTTTCTTACTTACGTAAAAAATTACATTTCAGGAAAGTTTATGTCACCTTCGCATATTGTAACGGCAGTAAAGCTTCTTGAAATCTTCAAACACTTCTTGAAATCATTGTCTCCTGCAAATCAGAATGCACTCTGTGAAAAAAATATGCCCTTTCATTTCCTCTTATGGTCATTAAAGTGTCTTAGGACACAGGCCTTTTTTTTTTTTCTGATTTTCATCTTCTAAATGGTCACAGTATATAACCATTTGGGTAAATTATATTCCTAATCCTAAGTATCATGACAATCTTGAATGTTTTGGTTTCATTGATAACATTATGTAGCAAAACTAAGGAGGGAAAAATAAATTAGAATGACCTACTCTTTAAAATGCATGTTAGCTTCTTAGCTTTTTTAGTCTGTTCCTAATTGTAGTGTGTGGAATTCATCTTGACTAAATCCAGCTGTCTGTAATGAAGGGGCCTATATTTAACATAGCTTATTAGACTTGTTTTTAAGTTAATAGGAGTACACTCATACAGCTTGACTAGCTGGATTAATTTAGATGTTCACTTTAGTATCAGAAAGAAGAAGCTTTAAAATGTCTCAAGACAATTTAGAGTGTTTAGACAACTTATTTAGTGAAGATGGAGGTGAATGGCAGTCAGCCGCTAGACCATCCTGTTGCATGGGATTATTCTTTCCCAGGTGCAAAGACTCGCACTTGCATCTGGTGAATTTCATGAGGTTTCTGACAGTGCATATCCGTGGGAATAGCAGCCTGCAAATTGGTGTTGGCCTCAAGATTGCTGAGTTTGTGCTGTGTCACACTTTCCATGTCATTAATGAAGACATTGTTTAGTATTGGTCCTAGTAAAGATCCCTGAGGGACTGTATTAGTTACTGGACACCAGGTGGACCTTACACCATTGACAACAACTACCTAAGCAGGACAATCCAGCCAATTTTCCACACACCTTATTGTTTGCAGCCCATTTCTCCCCAAACTGGTGAATAGAAGACCGTAGAAGACTGAATCAATGGCCCCTTTAAAATCTTACTCGCAGTGCCAATCAACTCATCCTAGGTTGTTCAGGCATGATTTGCCCTTGGCAAACACGTGCTGGCTGGCTGCTTTCAATGATCTTCCTGTACTTTACATGTTTATAGAGGGCTTCTATAAGAGGGCAGATTTGCTCCACAAGCTTCCCAGTGGCAGGAAGCTCCCCTGAGGTGAGAGTAACTGTAGTTCCCTGGACTTTCCTTTTTGATATTCTTTAAGGCAAATGTGATACTTGCTTTTTTTCCAGTTCCAGAACCTCCACCAGTTGCCATGATTTTTCAAAGAATAGAACAGCCTCACAGAGACCTCTGCTGGTTCCTTCAGCACTCTGATGCTTATACTCTGACAAGCTAATGGAGAAGATACAGTTTGCTAGTAACCAGCTGCAATACATTGCAGTTGTTACAGCTTTTTGAGTGAAACGAGTGCATTTTACTGTGTCTGTGAAAAAATGTTGTTGAAGGGCAACTTAAAATCTGTTTGAACTCATTCCAACCTCATAATGTTTCATCTGATGAAAAAAGGAAACAATATTTACGTAACATTTATAACTAAAAGTAATGAAATTATTTTTTGAGCATAAATACCACACACAAACTAAAAGTTTTATCTCACAGATTTCTCCCTGTCTTTTTTTTTTCTTTTCTTTTTTTTTTCCTTCCCTGGTGTGTGTGCAGGAACAAAACTATAGTTTTGATTCAGACCAGATCAGTTTTGCTTGTGCTTAAGTTCGATCACCGAGCTGAAAGAAAATTTATTTCTCTACTCTGGTGAAACAAATTTTTTTCCCATGCCAGAATTACTCACAATATAAACTTGGCAATGCAGAAGTAAAATATATTAGATCTTAAATTCAAGATAAATCACCATCTCTGAAGAAACTGTCAAGTAGATAAGAGCAAGGAGTTGAAAGAAGATAGTAGATAAAACATGATCTACAATCTAATCACAAAACAAGCAACCATAAAAATATTATTTTTCTCTAATTTACAGGATAATCTTGAGGAAACCAGGATAACTGTAAGTCTTCCTGTTAAGTTAATCAGTAATACATTGCCTTCATAGACATCTGTGAAAAACAAATAGTATGCAAATTCCTTTAATATCAGTATAGCAACATTCAATATCCTATGTTTTATGAGATGTTTATTTATAAATTTCTTAAATATATCAAACTCATAAATCATTACGATGTTTATACATGATGTCTATCCTACCTTATTACTATTATTCTGTAAAACCTTCAGTTTTATAATGTTCTGACCCCCTACCCCTCAAATATTTGAATATATTTTGAAATAACATGCCAATGACAGCAGAGACAAGAAGCAAAGCAAACATGTCCTAGGAATTTAGCTGTTTATGAAAAATGAAGATAACAAAAGCCTTTCAGGAAGGAGATACATATATGCTGCTCTCCAGGTATCCTGCACCTCCTAATTAGTACAGCTTGCACATCCTGAAAGTATCCAAGAGTGAGCATGTTTCAGTAATTTTAATAACACAAATTTTACAGGTTTGGATGGGAATTTTAGTCTTGAAAAACCATAATGCACATGAGGAATGGGAGATGCACGCAAATAGTTTATTCTACACATCACTCCATGCTAGCACTGTTGGAATGAGACAATCCAACACCCTCTTCGGCCTCTGTGAAAGTGCCATAGGAAAGGGAAATTATCAAGAAGCCACACTTCTTCAGATTCTTAAGAAATTACAAGTTATAGTGAAAAGACAAAAACTGTTCTAAACAGAAAAAAAAGTTTACAGAAGGAAAGGTTATTTTTGAAAGGAGATATCTGGATTCATGCATGTTGTATGCATACTAGGTATGCATTTATATTTTGCTTTGTAGCACCAGCCTGCTGTCATAAGTAATGCTCACATAACTTTGTGAAAGTTTCCATGGTAAATGAACCTTACACACTGTTAGCCTATAGAGTGCAATGAAGAAAATCTTCTCAGTTTAATTGCTTTGCTTTTAGGAACAGAAAAGCTACTCATTTCAAAATTTTAATCCAAAAAAGAGGTACCGTGTGAAAGTCAGAGCAGCTGGCAATGACGTCTGTCTGGTAAACACAGCCTGGGGGGAATGGAGTGCACCTCTTGAGTTTGGTGAGAATGAAAATCAATTCTTTGGCCTAGTTTTCCGCACTTATTTCCTGTTTACCTCACACATTGCTTTGCACCTGCTAACACAAAAATATAAATTACATGCAAATATTTTGTTTCAATGTATGCTGCTGTGAAGTAAAGGAAAGAGAGTATTTTTACATCTCTTAACACTCAAACATTCTGGTGGTTCTAAACTAATATAAAAATTTATACAAGTGTAAGTGAAAACATATCAGGCACTTTTTTCAGAAGAGGAGCAAACAGGTTCAATGTTAATATCTCCCTACATATATTACTGCTTAAGCACTAAGTTGCTAAGCTTAAAAGAGCTCTTAAAAGAGCTGATTTTTATTACAATAGAAACTTTTCAGACTGGTATCCACCAGTCAGTGTCCAAAGTGGGCATTTGACATAGCTATGTCACTATTTCTTTTTATTACACTAAAATGTTGTAATTGTTGTTCTTTCAGGAAATGAAGAAGTTATATCTCCTTCAATATTGGCCTTAATTATTGCTGTAGTTGCAACACTCTTAGTGGCAATCCTCACAATTTTGTTCTGCAAAAGGTAGGCCTAATTTATGTATGTATTTTATTTTGCCTGTGTGGGTGTGTAAAACATACATGAAGTTTTTTAGAAAACTAATATGGTAGAGGTGTCTCTGTAGTACAGATAAAATCTTTTATATTCACACTGCAGTAAATAAATAAAGTGTGCACTAAAGTATCATGCTCAAAGTTCCCCCTTGGCAATTATATGCAATTATTCATACTAGTAGTACAACTGCTGTGGATATTTGTAGCGTGTGCTGTCTGTAGAGCATATCTCCTGATTCCCTGAAGTGATGAATTTGTTGCACACAGCTTGATTGTCCTTTCCAGTATAGATTGTAGAAGATTTACTAGAATGCCTACTGTTTTCCTGAATGGTGTTCACTCTGTGCTGACACAATATATATTTTTCATTTCTCCTTCCTTTCTTCTGCTCTTGAAGAGAAGGATAAGAACTCGTTCAAGGATGCAATGGTTTTGATGCATGCTGGTTACTTATTTTTTTCTTTTCTATTCCATCCCCTTTTGGTCTCCAGGACTGGCTATTGGAAAGCAGCATTCCCACAAATCCCAGAGCCCAAAAACACATTTAGGGTACTTCCTGATACAACTCCAGAGGTATCTTTTTTTTTTTTTCTATTTATGCAATAAGTATGAAATTCAAGGTTCTGCTGGCATCTAAAACGTAGCGCTTAAATTATAAAGAGCATAATACATAGAATAACCACTACTCTTCATCAGCAAAGCACGGATGAAGTTCACCAGGGTAGCTTGAACCCACCTTTGCTCTCTGCACACACAGCAACCCACAGGCACAAGTCCCTTCCATAGAGGTTTCCTATAAGTCCGTCAAATGCCCATGCCCCATTCCCAGATCCCCTGACCTGCTCACCAGCCTTGGTCATTCCAGGTGTGGGTCTCCTTCTGCTCACCAGCTAGTCCCACTTGAAGGTCACTAGGGCATGCATACAGGGTAGGGAGGAAGGTGACAGAGTAAGAAGTTAGGAATAGGATTTTGTAAAATGGTGGAAGAGACTGCAATGATCAGACACATGGTTTCACCAGACAAGCACACTGACCAGCAGCTCACCTATATCTAGCCATCCTTTTCCAGCAATACACTTGAGGAGATTTATGATAACCTGCGTGGTGCGCTAGAGAAAAACACAAAATATCTCTGCTCAAATTTAGGTCTGTCAAAATCCGTGTGCCTGCATTAAAGAGGAGCTAAAAATTCAGTTATATCCTCCTAAGGAAAGCTTGTTAGCTAAGAAATAAAAAAGTGAAATATTCCTATAAAATATACAATAAATATTGAAATACTCTCAGAATTACAAATAAGCTAGTAGAGACTATGTTTATTTATAAAACTAATGGACTTTTTAAATTTATTTTCTGCAGACTGAGTGCAAAATGCAGTCAATAACAGCAGAACCTGAAGAGATAATATTAGTTGCTGAACTAGTGAAATAACCAAAGTAAAATGAGGAACCCACAAGTGTTTTTCTCAGCTCAGATGACACTTATCCTTCTGTAAATTCTGGCATAATCCTCAGGCTTTCTCCTTTTTTCTTCATTTTCAAAACAAAGACAGTAGTAAAGTCAAAAGAGATCGTTACTTCTTAAACAAAGTTTTGAAATCCGATTGTATTTGTTTTTAATTTGGACTTACTTCAGCTGTTTGGTTATTTGTCCTTTTTGGATATCTTTTTTTTTTTAATATGATTGAAATATTTTATTTTATTTGAAATTAGAAAGAGACATAACCTGTGATTCTTCCTCAAAGAAGAGAGAAACTAGCAGCCACATAGTTCCAGAGTGGTGCTTACATCTTGTTATTGTGGAGGAATGTGACCCATTCTGAGGATATGCTTGGGTTATATGGAGGTGTAGGAATGTCTTTCCCATCTTCTAATTCAATGATATCATATGCCAGGGATATAGTAAATTATGTAGGTCACTACCGATAGAAGAAAAAAAGTGTCTGGTGAGAGCTTTTGACTTTTTTAGTTTGAGCATTTCCAGTTACATTTATACCACCCAGTATGAGCTGAGATACAACAGGACATGACAGCCACTATTCATCCTGGCATTCTTCCTGGTTTTGGGAAACTGTTCAGTGCAACGGCAACATGGACAGCAGACTGGACAGACTCCCAGCCCCTCTCTTGCTATTAAGATAGATCACAGGGATAGGGTCCATTTACATGTTTAAGGGAAAAACAAAGTACTGTCTCCCACTACATGAATCTACTCCTTAACACAGAGGATACTAAGCCAACAGCTCTTAACTGTGAACTTCACAACCCATAATACTGCATGTAATACTTGACAATTACTCTTGATTTAGTAAGAGCGCCAATCCATATGATAAAAAGGAAAAGAAAGAGTGGTCTCCAACTGACATAACCTTCTTTTCCAACTGGTAGAGATCTAGCTCTTGCAGAAATCTCCCAAGCTACTGAGCTTCTAAGTCTGTAAATACTAGCTCCAGAGCTATCTCTACCTCTAGCTTGATTTTTATGAATGGTCCCACCCCTGTGCAGCAAAAGAACTTAAGAGTGAGTAGCAGTAACATTAGTTTCTAGCACAAGACTTTTACAGTATCAGTTAATTCTGTAGCTTCTCAATCAGCAATTCTGTTTTTAGCATTCATCACAGGCACATTTCATTTATGAATACTTCAAACTGTTTCATTCTTGGGTTCTTTATAAGTCTTTGCTGAATTTTATCTTGAAGTGATGTGATACTGATTTTTTTTATAGTCTCTTCAACCAGCACTTTATTTTGAGAGCTATGTTTCTGTTCATCCGATTGAGAACATCCCTAAGGGCATCTGTAGTACAAAATACTCCCCAAGGTCTTCTGGTTTCACCTTAGCTCCTTCAGCAAGTCTTTTAATACACCTTGACTACCTATTGGCTTCATGGTTTCTGGCAAGCTTCCCTTTTTGGGAAACATTTTTTTTTTCTTATTTTAGTGACTATTCTGTAATAAACAAACTTTTTTGGGTGACTTACTGTGTTCTTATATTTACTCTGCAAAAGCACACATTGTTTCCTGTTTTTCATGTATGGATATGGCTCCATTTTTTTGCATTCTTCTTTCCTATAGCCTCCTCCACCCTCTTACTTTGGTAAGCCAGGATTTAAGAGATTTACTATGAATCTGGACCAAATAGTAAATTTCTATGTTTAATTTAGATATGTGAAGAAACATAGGAGTGCATAGCTATGTCTTTATCATGCACTGTGGCTCTGAATGTGATGCTCAAGTTCCACTGGTTTTGTTTAGTAGAAGCAAAGAGTATTATTTCATATTTGCACAGAATATCAGCACTATCACTGCTTGACCAAATTATAATTTTCCTGCAAAGAAATAGACAGACAAAGTAAATCCTTGTAACAGGCAAGTAGTCAATATAAACATTATGATCAACACAGAGGACAAAAGACAAGTATGCTTACTTCTCTTTTAATATCCTGGACAGATCAGGAGCACACTATGAAACTCTGTTTTACTGGTGTAATTTGTTTTACAAGCCCCCTTCTTTGGGAAGGAAGCATATTCCAGCAAGAAAATCAGAATCTGGATAGATAATAGCCAAGCACACACAAGACTTCCTTTGGTTAAAGTCTAACTCTACACAAGACTCCTCCTGTATCTGGAGTTATACGAAAGAGTGCTGTCGTGTAATTCCCCACTTTGGACATTTGGCCAGTAAGCTATTCACTTGCTACGACCTGAGGATGAAATGCTGGAAGCTCACTATGACCTCAAAGGTTGTTTTAAGACTCAGTAAGAAAAGCAGTTTTCCTCCTTAAAAGAATTAGCTTTCCAGTTCTATTATTTGCATCAAAAAGAACTTTATTCTGTGCGTAGCCCCGCTGATTTTAATAATTGACACATCCTGCTGCTCCTTTCAGTGTCAGAGATTCAGATTTTGGTGGTTCATAACTGAGTAAGGAATAACTGAATTATGTCAGGTCTATGCTTTCTGTAGAATTATTTCTCATTTTCAGACTCAAAAGCTTAGATTTCTATGCTAGACATTCGAATATAGACATATAATTGTTAGACTATTTTTATGACATTAAACTAAAATATTAGACTAAAAATTCTGACTACTTTCTATTACTGAGGCTATCATTTAAGAGCCCAGGAACATATTATTAACCTCTTAAATTATGTGAACACATGCAAACTGCTGATTAGACATTAGCCCTGTCCTGAGCTAGCCCCTGGACTATGACCAGAAGTTCTTCAGGACACCACTAGTAAACCCTGGCCACTTCTGTGCTGGGAACTGTTGTTCCTGGGCATGTTCCAGTGCTGAGAACCTTTTAGATACCAGCACGGGCAGGGGCCATCCCCAGAAATGTCCAGCTTCTAGCCTAACTGGGCGCATACAACTCTTGGCACACAAGGGCTATTTGTCTTTTACAAAGTTAATCATTGTCTTTTGATGAAATACCCATTTGGGGACTTTTTTTTTTCTGGCAGATGGTACAACAAGGTCTATTTCTTAATAAAGTTAAAGCTTAGTTCATGCTGGACACGCAAACCATTTGCATTTCCGTAAGTATACAGTAGTGGCCAGAATTGAAATGCTTACAACCACATGCTAAAGGGTAATGGACTGAACTAAACTGCACTGGATTATGCAACCTTTCCTCTTGGACTTGAAATTGCCAAAGTGAGGAATAATTTTCCTCTAGTCCACCATAACCTAGCCATGAATTGTGAACCAGGAATGCTGAGTGCTGAGTCCTGAGCTGTTCATGCACCCTGTGCAGGAAAGGAAACAGAAAAGCTTAGTTAATGCAGTGCCAAGACATTCAGGAGGTATCATTAAAGCCTTGTTAAATAGGTCTTAAACTCCCCATTTGCTTCCTATTTTCTCTTAGAAAGGGATACTTCAACTTATTCAAGAAAGTAGTTCAGGAAAACTGATAGATGTTCTAGGACAGTATCCTCCAGCACCAAGAATGGGCCATCCAGGTATTCAGGGAAACAAGTAGATATATCAGGAGGCTAAGCAGAGTACTCATGGGGGAGCACTCCAATGCAAAAGGTAATACACAAGAAATGGAAGCTGGAACCGCTACAGAGGGGGTGTTTAAAAGTATTTCCCAAACATGTAGGAATGCCAAAGCTCACTGAAAGTTGATGCTGGCCTGGGATGTCAAGAAAAACAAGAAGAGTTTCTAGCACTACGTAAGTAATAATAGACCGAACAAGGAAAATGTGGGCTCACTGCTGAAATGGGGCAGGTGGATTAATAGCAATGGTCACATATAAGACTGAGGTGCTCAAAGCCTTCTTTGTCTCCATCCTTATCAAGAAGGTCTTCCAGGCCTCTGTGACTAGTCAAAGGGTCTAAGGAGGAGAGGAGCTGCCGATAGTGTGCACAGGTCATGTCAGGGATTACATGAGAATTCTCAAACCCATCCAACTCTATGAGAGCCAAAAGGTTGCAGTTAGAGTGCTGATAACTAGTCAATCTACGCTCTATCAAGTTTGAAAGGTCATGAAGATCTGGAGAGGTCTCTGATAACTGAAGAGAATAAAAAGTTGCACCCATCTCCAAAAAAAAGTCTAAAAGGTCAGCCTGCGGAACTATAGGTCTGTCAGATTGTGAAAGTCATGGAACAAATCCACTTGGAGCAAATTTCTGGGCACATGAAAAAGAGGATTACAAGCAGACAGCCTATATTTACCAAGAGTAAACCATGAAGGACCAACGTGATTGCCTTCTGTTATAAAATGACTACATCTATAGATGACAGAACAGTAAATGTAATTTACCTCAACTTTGGGTAAATTCTTGACACTGTCTCCCACAAATATTTTTTTATCTAAGTTGAATCATTATAATCTGGGTGCATAGAAAACATATGGCCAAAACTTGTTGGATAGTTGAACTTAGAGAGCTCAGAGGACTATACCTGGGTACCTGTGACAAGTGGTGTACTGAAAGATCCACCCAGGGACCTGTCCTGCTTAACATATTTATCAATGACTTGAAGGAGGTGACAGAGCATACTTTCATCACTTTTGCAGATGGTACCTGTTGCAGCTTGAAAGCTGTAGTAGTGGCGGGGAAGGAGATATCAAATAGCTATATACCCATCTCTGGCAGTATCGGATTCACCAACAGTCTGTCGACCATGGGTCCAATTGCCTTCCTAGGTCCCAAATAGTGTGATCAACTATAAGCTCGACTCTGGCGCTATCAGATTCATGAACAGTCTATCAACCATAGGTCCGATCGCCCCCCAGAACAAGTAGTCAAATTCACAAACATTATGATTTATTCAAATGCAACATTTACAAAGCAGATTTTGAATGTCAGAACAGGATATTCCCTACTACAGCGTGGGTTTTTTAGCTTGTTCTGATATACAAATGTGCAATCATCACTCACCCCAGAAGATGGGAGAGGGCTGTCTGTCTTGGGTCTCCTCAGGCAGCGTCCCAGCCGCAGGGGAGGAAAGGAGGTTCAGCCCGTCAACTTACTCAGGAGTT